AATACTTTCAAAACATTTCAAAGGTATTTAGGTCAATTTACATTTTACGAATTCTTATTTTTATATTTTTATTAGGTACGTTTTGATGAGAAGAATGAACGCCTAAAATTTAAAATGATTTGGATTTGTAGAAAAAAAAAAATTCAAATACAAAATTAGATTGTAATCGTCAGATCAGCCTAGATTGAATTTGCGCTATTGTTGACACTGTAGCAATCAACCCGTGGGCTGACAGAATCGACTATATATATATACACACACACCAGGCTTTGACATGTTTGATCGAAATGAAGTGAATCAGATAACACTACTTTGTATACAATCTCTATTATTATTTGTTTACTTTTAGTTGTCAAATTAAAGATTAAATGAATCAATATCTTCATATTATAAATTCATTAATGTAGAACATTATTGTCAGCTCAATCACATAGAACTATCATATTCATCATTGGAAATTTAATTAGTAAAAAATCATGTTTTTAAAAAACTCAAGGTTGGATAAGAATCGTCTGATCCGACCTAAGGCTTGGTGGAGCCATCTTGGTTCTTTGAATAAATCACATGGTTCTTTTTAGGAACTAGTCGGGTCTTTGACATAACAAGTTAGTTCTGTTAGGGAGCTAGCCGATCCGGCCCCATAATATTTTTATTATTATTATAAGGGATTGTATACAATGTGACCATTTACTTTTGATACAAGATGGTCACAATTACTTACAACCATCCGATGTGAAATTTAATAGTTTGGATGTGTCATAAAGTTTGAAAAAATTTATTTCAAAATTTGAGTTTGATCAATGGAATAATTACGGCCACTCAATTTCACATCGAATGGTCAAGATTAATGTGACCATTTTGTAGCAAAGGTAAATGGTCTCATTCTATACTTTCTTTTATTTTGTTTTGAATTTTTAATTTTTTTTTGCTCGGCAGGATCGTCGATCCCAATTGGCAATTCGCCGACCTAACCAGTTTGTTGGATAGCTGGTTCACCTAGCTGATCCGGATTTTTAAACATCGGTGAAAAAAGTATTCAACAATTCCTATGATCATTTATCCCAGTAGTAACTAGAGTTCAAAATGTAGTGAACATTAGTAACCCAAGTTAATATGCAAAAAGAGGCCGTACTCTTCTCTTCTTCTGACCACCCACTTTTTTTGACAGTCTCTATCTGACCCACTCTTTGATAGTCTAATCCTCAAGGAGTTGTCAAAATCAAGAGGCTGCTTCCTTCTCACTTTAAGTCCAGGTTTGGAGGGTAGAATCTTTTGAGTTAGAGACTTGAAGAGCCTTTTAAATACCTTCATTTAATTTTGGACATGTCGGAAGGTTTTTCCTGACCATCTCCCAAAGTTTCGGCAAATAATCTGCAGCATGTCGGGGGTGCTTTGGTAATTATTGCAACCCAGGCCCAAGATCACTTTATCAATCTTTCTAAGGTGAAAAGATAAGGGTCGCTGTGGTACCACCCTCACACTGTAGTTGCCACATTATTGTGGTTTTCTTCTCATTGAGTGCACTCCTAAGACCTCCAAACACCAACTCCTAAACTACTCAAAAAAAACGGGTAAAGGGACCACAAGAGTTTGATCCCTCTGAGCATTGCCATTCGGATTCAGAATCATCTCACTCCGACCAAATTGGGAGGTTGGAGATACTAGGCCAAAAAACCAAAGAGCTGCATAGGTGTTCTATCATTTTTCTTATTTTTTTCTTGTTAAATATAGCTGGGCCTAAGTTAGACACGCTCCAAAAAAAATAACCTAAGAAAACATCAGCAACCCTATCACACGTGTGAATAGTACAACAAGAGTGTGATCCCTCTAAATTTTGCCCGGTCGAACTCAGAATCATCTCACTCGGACCAAATTGGGAGGCTACAGTTTCTAGGTTGAAAAACAGAAGAGCCGCCTAGGTGTTCTATCATTTTCCTTATTTTCTTTTGTTAAATATAGCTTGGTCCAATTTAGACAGGCTCGAGTTGGATAATCAAGGTCGGACTGACCAATGAAATAGCAAGGGATTTGATCTAGTCAAAGTCGGTCTAATTACTAGTTAAATTAGTTGGATCAGATTTTAAAAATAAAATAAAAAATAAATAAATATAATAATTTAAAATATAAAATTTATCTAACTTCATTTCGTTGATCGAACCGGTTTAAACTGACTTATCCGACTCAACAAAACCAGCCGGCCAAGGTACCAAATGGAGGTCAGAATGGTCGGACAACTTAATTTGTCCGATCTTGATAACACTCATGCGGAGCTGGAGCCCGATTCCAATCTTTGTTTAAGTCAAAGATTGTGATCCATTAAGGGCAAAATTGTCACCAACTTTGATTAATTTATTGGATGAAATAATGGTCACTTGAAGCTTACAATTTTGAAGGGAAAAAATAAAAAATAAAAGAAGAAGGAAAGCCATGGTTCAAGTTTATAAAAGAGAAAGGATAAAAGATTAAGAGAGAAGCCCATGGTGTACTTTTATATGGATCAAAAGCTTACATTTTTGCTTGGATTTGTTTTGCAACTATAGATTCAAGTATTGGAATTCTACATTTATGATGTACGGACCTGCAACTATATTAAAGCTTATACAAACCACATCATTCAATTAGGAAAAAGCTTATACGGGGATGTGACCTTAAACTACATCATCAATTACCCCAAATAAAAAAAAAAAACTTAGCATTAAGGCGAACGGCAAAATCCATTGAAAAATGCTATTCTAATATTGAAAAATTCTCTAATTGGTTATCTCGACATCAAAATGTATGGAAAGTAAAAGACCTGAAATAACGCATCTTGCAATATATTGTCTAAACTGTCAATTTTTAAAATTTTCATGTGTTTATGGGTCTACTTGGTTTGAACATTTGGAGTTCAAAATTTTATAGTTAAAGATGAAAATAGATTCTCATTCCATCATAAAAATTGTTTACGCTAAAATTATATCTTGTGATAAAATTTGGAGGTGCACCTTACTTTGCTTGTTTATAGTTGCAACCTTATGCAAACCATACCCTTGAATTAATTCATTTGATATTATATCATTTTCATTACACTTCATAATTATGTAATTATTCTATTCATCAATAGGTGAGTTATTTCTTTAGGACAAAACTTCAAAATATTAAAGCTGCATCTCAAGTCCTCACGAGAAAATTGAAAGAAAGACCTATGTGATCTTTTGCTGGGGAAATACAATTTTTTTTTTTTAATAATAATCACCCCTTATAATTTTGACAACAAGATCACTCACAAATGATCTTATTACAAACAATAGAAATTCCAAAAATAAATAACACATCAATAAAATAAATCTCAACTACTTGATGCCATTCATACAACCTAATATAGTGCTTGAAAATATAAAATAAAAGAACAAACAAATAAAAGAAAACATGCCGGAGATTACCTCAACCGAGCTTTTTACACTCCACACCGAGTCACCACATCCAATGGTGTGGGGTCTGTGGTCTAGCTTCAATCTCGAACCACGATAGCTGATTTCAGCCAAACTAGGTAACCACCTTTTAAACTCTCTACTAAAACTTGACCTCCAAAATTAACTTAGGTCCTCCTCTAATTTTTCCAACCCTTAAATTAACTTAGGTCTAGAGAGGAGAGACAGTACTATCTAAAGTTTTGGAGAGAGAAAATTAGAGATAGAAATATAGAGGAGAGAGAGTGGAGTGTGTCCCTCTAGGTAAGAGAGAGGTGAGAGAGAGGTTATGGGAGAGAGAGAGGTTGTGTGTAGAGATTGAGGGGAGAGCACCTCTATTTATTGTAGATATTTAGGTTTAGGGTTTTTTAGGGTTTTCCCATAGTTTGTCTCTTTTATGAGATTGAATCTAGACCGTTGATCAAAGTAACTTGTGAGGTGAGAAATCTGAATCATCCATTCCACAGATGG